ATAATGTATAGAATTTAAAGAAAATAATAGTTAAAAACAAAAAAAAAAGTATATTTTAAAAAATAAAATGGCATCACCAAAATTTCAATCAACAGATTTTCAAACACCAATTAAAAAAAAATGTCCATCATCATCATCATCATTAAGTTCACCATCATCAATATCAACAACATCAACAAATATTAAACAACGTTCAATAACTGATAGTAGTAATAATAATGATGAAACAATAACAACAATTAAAATGGAAGATGGTAATGATGAAATTAAAATATATTCAGCATCAACAATTAAAAAAAATGAACCAGATGATGATATTGATGTTGATGGAATTGAAGATCGACTTTCGCCTGTTGTTGAAGAACCTGTAAGTTATTCATATTAAAAATAAAATTTATTATTTTTTTTTTTGTTTCTTTTTAGACAAGTCCAAATAAAAATGATGCATTCAATAGTAGTATTTCTGGTTTATATGCATCACCATTTCTTTATCCATATTTTCATCCAATGTTTCATCCATATTTAATGGCTGCAGCTGCACAAGCAAATGCTGCTGTATCATCAACAGTAAACATATTTTTTATTGTGTTAGTTTCTTACAAAAATATATATTTTTTTTGTAGGATAAATCATCAACAGATGGACAAATGCCTCCATCTAATCCATATGGCGCTGCACCTTCAACATTATCTCCATTTCCAGGTTTTAATCCAGGTAATAAAAAACAAAATTTTCGAAATGAATACAAAACAAATCATTTTCTTTTAAAGGTATGCCTTTTCCTTCGTTATATCCACCGGGAATGGCTAATCAACCATTTCGACCAAATCTTTTTAATCCATTTGGTATTCCGATTCCAACACCCGGTGTTCGACCTCCACCACCACCATCATCTTCATCTTCATCATCATCTTCTAATCGTCATCATCAAAATTATGATGGATCTTCTCGAAAGTATGATATAATAAATTAATAAATAACTTCATTTTTTTAAAAATTCTATTGCACTTTTAGTCTTAGTGCTCTACTTGATGTACAACGACCTAAAAAACCTCATATAAAAAAACCTTTAAATGCTTTTATGCTTTATATGAAAGAACAACGTGCACGTGTTATTGAAGAATGTACATTAAAAGAATCATCAGCAATAAATAAAGTTCTTGGACAAAAATGGAAAGAATTACCTCGATCAGAGCAAGACAGATATTATGGTAAAGTTTTTCAAAAAAAAACAAAAGATAGTTATTTCGAAGTCAATTTTTTTCTCATATGAAATATTTAGAATTAGCAAAAGAAGAACGTAATCGTCATATGCAACTGTATCCAGGTTGGTCAGCACGTGATAATTATGGTTTAAAAAAGAAACGACAATCAAGTGGTCATACACCAATATTAAATAATTCACATAAAAAACCACCAAGAGAAAATAATTCTATGGTTAATAGTCCAGGACAGTTAAATCATAATAGTCCACATCGTTATGGACATCATCAACAACAACAACAACATTTAATTAATAGTTCACATATGAATTCAACAAAAAATCCAATGCAATTAGAGAATGGTAAAAATATTTTTAAGAAAAAAGTTAAAAAATTTACGAAATCCTGTTTTTTTATTTTGTTTTAAATAGATTGTTTAAATCAAAAGAAATGTCGTGCACGTTTTGGTTTAGAAGGTCAAAGTCAATGGTGTAAACATTGTCGACGAAAGAAAAAATGTACAAGATTTCTTGAAGAAGATATGTTAAATCATGCAAATAATAATAATAATAATAATCATATGATAAATAATTATCATAATTCATCATATAATAATCATGGAATAAATATAACTAATAATAGAAATTCATCATCAGTTAGTTCACCACAAACAAATCAATCTGATAATGATGATTCAATGAATGAACCTGATGGTGATGATATATTATCTCGACAAGTTGATTCAATTGAAGATGATGATGATGATGAGGAAAATGATGATGAACATCATACAAATGATGATGACAGTGATGAAGAAAATAAACAACAACAACAACAACCTGTTTCACTTGTTTATAAACCAATTCCATCTAAAATTGATTCTCATCAACAATCATTTCAACCACCACCACCAGCACATTTATATCAACCTTCAATGTTACCATCTCATTTTGCACCTAACTTTCATTATTAAAATACAGTTGTGTTTCTTTTCTTTTTTTCTTTTTCTTTTTCTTTTTTTTTTCTGTTGAAGAAAAAATTTTGGTGCTTCATCTTTCTTCGTTTGTAAATTACACTACTATACGAAATTCTTTGACTCGAGTGACAAACTTCTCTTTATTTCCTGGTTTTTTTTTCCTCGCGATTTTTTTTTTGTTTTCTTCTAACTCTGTACTTGGCGAGCATGTGAAAAGTCTTGTGATTTCGACATGTGGTTTATCAATGAAAAAAGAAAAGGTCTTGATAAAAAAAAAATATTCAGTTTTTTTGAAACGAGGATATATAATAATCTTGAACTAAAGGGAAAGTGATGTCGTTAAACTATGAAATTGATTCCTTCTTGAAATTGATTGCATTATTAAGATATCAAGAGTTGATTGTCATTCGAATTAGACCATTAGATCTCATTCAGGCTGCATGCGACTGACTTAAAACTCGATATTATCTATCTTCTATAGCCTTATGAATGCTCTTTCTTTGCTCTATCGAATGGCATATAGAAGTATAACAAAATATTGTTCGTTCTCTTTTGCTTTTAAATGAGATTGTTCGTTGGTATATACAATCTGAGGACACACGTGACAAACTCCTCCACTATTGGACTGTGAAAGTAGTGATCTTCTTGAATTGTGTATATCGTTCGGTATGCTTTTCAAAGCTCTAAAAAATGATATTATTGCGCTGAGATTATGTGCAATGTTCATGAGTCACAAAAGTTGCCCTTTTTTAACTGATAATTGATGGATTTTGGTCAGAATAATCAGGCTTCGTATCAAAACAAATAATATATTTAGTATCAGGATAAAAAATGGATTCGATCTATATGCGCCACAAAACCTTTTGATAACTTTTATTTACAGCTCTGGTCCACTCAAGGTTACGTCGTAAAATAAAGTTAGTCACAACGTCAGTTTGACAGTGAAAATCACTTCTAAATTTTTAAAAATTTAGGATAATCTAAAATGACAGATAAATAATAAAAATAATGTTGTGACTGACTTTATTTTTCGACGTAATCCTGAGATGAATCATGGTTGAAATTTTGAACGAAAATAAAAGTTGTCGAAAGATTTTGTGATACATAAAGATTGAATCAATTTTTTATGCTGATTTCAAATATACTGTTTGTTTCAATAGGAAGCTTGATTACTCTGACCAAATTCCATCAAGTATCAGTCAAACAAGGGTAACTTTTGATACTCATGAACATGATGTGTTTGATTAAAGTGTCTTGACTACAAATTAATCTCACCGCAATAATATCATTTTTAGAATTGTGAAAAGCCTATTGAATGATATATAATTCATATTGAATCGTTGCTTTCACAGTTCCATAAAGAGGGGGTTTTGTCATGAGTGCCTTCAGGATTATATAAACACTACATTGCATAATACTATAAAGAAGATCGATAATATCGAATTTTGAGTTAGTCGCGAGCAGTCGGAATGAAGTCTAGCGATCTAATTCGAATAGAAATCGACTACTGATAAATCTCAATTGACTATTCTGAGAACAAAAAACTCAATTTCGAGAGAGCGCTGACATCATTGCTTAACGAACTCTTCCTTTATATTGAATCTACTGATAACAATTGATCGAAAAATTAATTATAAGGTTAAGAAAAAATTCGTTTTACTTAGCAACATAATCAAAATTAGTAAATTTGTTATTGAGTTAACAAACTTTTCAAAAAATCTAAAAATAGCATCGAAATTCGATTCTGGTTGGCCACTGCCAACAACTCTTTCGCCGATACAGAATTTGAATCAAATTCAATCATATGATCTTTCGACAGCAACTATCGAACTAGGTTCAAGTTCTATACTCAATAATGATACTCATCATCATCATCAGAAACTATCAATATGGGTCAATGATGAATCATATTTTGAAAAGCTTCGATCTACAGCTGAATATCGTCAGAATAATAAAGTAGAATCATATGTGACAACATCGAATATGTCAAATTTACTTGAAAATTTTATTGGATCAATTCAACCTTGTACTACGTGGTATTCAGACGATATGAAGAATATGAAATCACAAGTAGCTATCGTCTTATGTCGACTTGAGTTACTCAAACAAAGTTCTCTTAATAATGGAATGACAAAATCAATAGAAAATGATAGATATGAATACAGTGTACATCAACAATTTGATACATGTATTTTGCCAATAAGAACATCACATGGAACAGTATTTTTTGATTTTTCGAAACAATCAATCAACTATGATATTTATATACAATTAATGCAACTTGTACGTTTATCGAATTTAGATAAACTTATTGAAAAAATATTTCATAAATCAGGTGATTTGAATTGATCTATGCTGTTTAATATTCAAATGATTAATAAACTTGATGATTATAGGAGAATATCATCATATAGATTATAAAGAACAACGTCAAAAACAATTTGAAAAAGAAAAAAATAATCATGAGAATTTATCAGATCATCACGTTTATCAATTAAACCAAAATCTAACAGTTAATCATTATGATTCTCATTCTATTTTATCAAATTCATCAATTCATAATAAATATCAATTATCAAACAATAATGATTTAATGTAAAATAATTTTTGAATTCTCTTTTGTTAATATGTATTTATTTCAATTTTTATTCAATTCTAACAGAAAATTACATCAAACAGATAAAAATAGTTACTATATAACAATGGCTAAAAGTGTACATTTTCGTAGTTCAAGTCATTGTTTTGTGCTTGATAGTATTGATATTTCATACCGTTTTCAATATGATCGAAACATTTTACGAGATACTTGTCATCACTTTCATAGTTATGATAACATGAAGTAAGTTTCGAATAGTAATTAAGAAAGTAATCATGAGACTATCGAGTACACGAGACACTTGATTAAAAAAATCTTCTTTTTTTGTGTATTCCATTCCTCGATGTCTGAAACTACCAACCCCAAAATTTTAGCGTCCAATATCCTTTCTTTCAAAAGTTAGTCAACACCGACTTTTTACTTCTATCATATGCTTATGAGGAAAAAAAACAGTATTGATCGACTGAAGTTTAATAAAGCTAACATGAATGAAAAATGATTCTTTTAATGAGTCTACAATGTCCATTTGATAACAGTCTATTTTCTATAAGGATTCAAAATCTAAGGGATCCAAGATTAATCTACAGAATGATTAAAAAAAGTATTCAAAAATAAATGGTACTTTCAACATGAAACAGGATTCGCGTCGATCTCTTCCATAATGATTGTTGACTGGTTTTCAATAAAAAAAAAAAAACATTTATAGCGGTTTTCATTACCATGGCGCAATTTTAAAGCAAAATAAATATGATATTCGGATCCAATGTCAAAAAATACATTGAGTCAAACACATTCTAGAGAAATTTTTCTCCTGCGAAAAACTGGCCTCTGGGAGACCATGGAGCAAAATTTTAATGAAATACAGCCATGGGCAATCACAGGTCTATTTTTCTATAGGCGAAAAAGAGTCTCTAGAATGTGTTTGACTCAATGTAGGTTTTGACGCTGATTTCGAATGTCATATTTATTTTGCTTTAAAATTGCGCCACGGCAATGAAAGCAGTTATAAATGTTTTTCTTTTTTTATTGAAAAACCATTATATGGGAAAGAGATGTGAATCACGTTTCACGCCGAATATATCACTGATTTTTGGAATATTTTTTTATTTGCAAAGCATATATAAAATTTACCTTGGATTTCTTTGATTCTGAATCCTTATAGAAAATAGATCGTTATCAAATGAACATTTTAGACTCATTCAAAGAGCCATCTTTCATTCATGTTAGCTTTATTAAACTTTAGTCAATCAACACTATATTATATTGAAATAGCTCGTTTTGTTCAATTATTAATTCTCTATCTTTTACCATAATTTATAAAAAAAAAACAAATTTGAATGATTTCTTGAAACGAAAACAATCACAACTTTTAAAGGGAATTTTGTACTGTTTTTTTCTTATAAGCATATGATGGTGTTAAAAAGTTGGTAGCGACAAACTTTTGAAAGAAAGAATGTTGAACGCTAAAATTTTCGGGTTAGTAGTTTCAGACATCGATGAATTGAATACACAAAAAAGTCAAGTACCTTGTATACTCGATGGTTTCATGATTATTCTTTTAATTCTTTCATTCAATGTTGAATAGTTCAAATAATATACAAAATGAAAATAATGATTTATTACAAACTAAATTTATGTTAGATGATAATCCGTTACTATTTCGAACTGGAATCAATCAAGTAACTTATGAACAATTGTATTCTTCTATGCTTCAATTAGATGTTAATTCAAAACGAATCATTCATTTTATTCTTGTTTTATGTACATACAGAATGAAAAAAATCTATCAATTATTAGAATCATTATTGAAATCATATGTTTCACAAAATATTTCTATTGTCTATGTTACATTTGATGAGATAAAATCATTTTTAATCAAATATGAACAAATATCACATGAAATTCTTCAAAAAGACATTTTAACATCTGTTACATTGCAAAATTCTCATAACACATCTTCATCAACTATGTCGACTAAAAAAAATGTATTCAAACAACACACAATTTTATTTCAATCAGTTAACTTTAATAAAGAATTTAATACTAATGCAGACGTCAATAATGAAAACATAATAAATTCAATATCTGAGTAAGATTCTTTCCAAAAAAGAATCAATGAATATCTATACAAAGTACTTTTTAAATTCAGGCAAGATATTCTCAATCTATCTCCAAAAACAGATAATAATACAATAGAAAAGATTGATTTATTCAATGAAGAATTTTTACTTAATTATCTTCAAAAATCATCACTTGTTCTTATATTCATGAAACATTTAGATGAGACATATCTCAATGCAGTATGTGTAGAAGATTTTCATAAATTTTACAATTCTATAGCATATAATTAGTTTATTCGATGGTATACGGAAGTTCTCATCAAATCTGATGTACATTCCAATCAATCATTCACATCTAGTTGGAATAAAGCTATTGAACATTGTTGGCTTGTAACAAGTGATTATCAACGTGCTCAAACAGTTTTTAGTATTCCAAAAACAAATTTATTTCTCTGGCCAACAGAACATAACGATTTTGATCATATATCAATTATTATTTCATCGATTCTTATTCTACCTATTGCATTAACTATTAATTATGAGTTTGTATTGATTCTTTCTTTTTGTCATTCGGATTTCATAAAGTAGAAAGAAAAAAAAAATTTAGCAGACCTATATTTTCGAGATATTATCTTAATAGTGATAACTAAAATGAATGGAAATAGAAACATTCAAGTAACTGAAAAGGATTTCATTTCAAAATATATATTTTCTAGGTTTTCAGTAAAATTTTTCGGCAGCTGGTCCTTTGGAAAATCAAGATTCCTCTACAGCAGTTTTTTGAATTCGATCGGAAGCATTTTACATATGAACACATCTAATAGTGCAAACATTCTAAAGCAAAATGGGATGTTCTTGTGCTCTCTACAATTTTTCTTCATCAAACTATATTAATGAAGGAAATTCTCCAATTGATAAATCGTGTTTTTGAGTCAAGATTACATGTATTAGGTAAAATCAACTGAACTATGAATACCTAGAAAACAGTTCAGATCCTTAGCTTATTGCTACCGAGATACTGCACTTTTACGATAGTTTTTAAATGAATGCCTTAGTTCCCTTCAGGAACACTAGAAAAACTAATTCCCGAATTTTGACTTGAAACTTCGCATAGATACATTTCCTAACAAAAAATAGTTTCTTGTGAATGTTTCAGATCTTGTCGTTGTTCTTATCTTAAGATATATATGTGGTAAAAGCGTGTCTTTTACAATGCTCATATATTTATAATGGTAGATTTGGTGTTCTTATTTTAGGATAGGAGTAAATTAAAAGGTCTGAAACTGTCACGATAAACTATTCTTGTTAAGACCTGTTTTTGTATAAAATTTCAAGTTGAAATTCGAAAATCATTTTTTTTTTCTGATGTTTCTGAAGGGAACTACGGCGTCCATTTAAAAATTACCATAAATTTGCAGTATCTCCACTACAAGAAGCAAAGGATCTGAACTCTTTTCAAGATATTCAAAACTCATTTGGGTCTATATGATGCACATAATCCTAACTCAAAAATACTTTCCTCATGAATCGATAAAGACTTCAAAGCGTACTATACGGTAAAGTTTTGAAAAAAAGGAACAATGAACAGATAGCTTCCACGCCTTGATCAAATTAAATGGTCGTGGGGCAGCTTAGAAATATTCCATTTTGTTTCAAAATGTTTTCGATCGAATTCAGAAAACTGATTCAGAGTAATCTTAGTTTTCCAAAGAAAAAAATTCTTTTCGATACTCAGATCTGTTTTTATCATTCGTTATCCTAATCAGCATCATTAAGAAAATATTTTTTCATAGAATCTATACGATGTTTATTGATGGCATGTCTATTGTTGATAAACATTGTCAAGAAACAACATTGGATCGAAATATTTGTATAAAAATGGCACTTTTACGTATATGGTCAACTATTTGTGAACGAAAAAATAATGCAATTATTACTTGTGATGATGATCTTCAATATTTCGGTAATATATAATGATTTAAAATCGAATGAAAAGATACTTTTCATATTTTAGGTGAATATGCTAAAATGTTATTTACTGAATATGATGATTATATTGATGAACACAAAATGAAAACGAAATTTGTATCTATTCATGGAATGCCATTAGCAAAAACTTTTCTTCAAAAAATATCTAATGATCAAAATCCTTTCTCATATGATTTAATTACAATTAGTGATGTTATACAAAATACAAATTTTGCTAATAAACAATCACCTTCATTAACAACTCATTCTTTTCAGAATGAAGTAAACGATGCAAGTGACAATAATCTATCTGATGAAAAATTATCTCTTAATCGTCATTCATCAGAATTATTAACTATATTGACAGAATTCTATGAACAAGAAAAAACATTACAAGCAGATAAAATTTTTCATCCACATACTTTGATCTTACTTGATCAATACACACCATTAACGATAGGTAGTATGACCGAAATTAAATAACGATATACACTAGCTGCTAAAATTCTTCGAACAGATTTATTTTCAATTTTTCTTCCACTGTCGTAAATGCTAATAAGAATCTAAGTAGTGATTTGTGTAGAAGATTTTTCAAGAAGAAAATGATTGTTAGTTTTTCCAAAGGATGGGGTCTCTGAAAAACCAAACCATAGCTTTTCAGCTTCTGGAATTCACAAATAGAATTCTATTGGAATTCCCTAGAATGATAGAGCAACAAACAATTCTCTACAAAATGAGGTGTCTTCTAACCCCCTACGATGTTTTTTTCACCCAGATACATCAATCTTATAGAAAGCACAAAAATCGTTTTGTTTTTGTTTTTTTGCGGCTTTCATAAGACTGATGTATCTCTGTGAAGAAAACGTCGTATGGAACTGGCCGACATTACATTTAGTAAAGAATTGTTTACTCTATCGTTCAAAATATTTCAAACAGAATTCTACTTGAAAATTTCAGAAGCTGGAAAACTTAGGTTTTGGTTTTTTCAGAGATCCTATCCTTAGAGAACTAGCAAACATTTTCATCTAGATGAATTTTTATTGGAAATAAAATTCTCTATAAAAATCACTATTTGGATTCTTATTAGCATTTATGACAATGCAAAAAAAAAAACAAATTGAAAATAAACCATGTCGAATTGGTGTGAGAGCTATTGTGTATTATTCAAATTTTGCAGGTGTTCTTATTGGTGTTTATCAAATATCCATGTTTTTTGAAAGCATAATTCGTGAAAATATTTTTCAACTAAATGATCAAACTAGTCTTCGTCGTTCACAAGATAAAATTATTACTCAACATCAAGAAAATATTACACAAGATCTAATAAATGAAATAAGTCAAATATATCTCGATGAATAAATAAATCTTAAAAATCGAAGAAAAATATTCAAGTAAATTTATATTTAAAAGAAAACTGTTAATTTGTTGAGAGAAAAGAAAATCATTTTTTATAAATTCTCATCAAAAACAAGATAATTTACTGTATGTTCTTCGTGTTTTTCATTAGTTTTTGAAAGTATTTTAATAGCCTCTTCGGACATATTGAAATAAATATTCCATAGTTGTTCGTTCGTTATAAATTCTTCGAAATTTTGTTTTTTTTCATAATTAAATATTTTTTCAAATACTTATTTTATATTATTTTGTTTAATATATTTTTCAATAATTTGACAAATTTCTTCTTTATGAAAAAGAATAATTAATTTATTCGAAAGTTTTTTACTCATTAAATACATTATATTTCAAGCTTGATTAAGATTTATTTTATTATCATTTGAATTATTTTCAACAATAATATAAAAATCATTTTTTATTTCATTATTAATTTGTTTGATTTTATTAAAAATTTTTTCTCGACATTGTTCATTATTACAAATCAATTGTGCATCAGATGAATGATGAATATGTTGATTGATTTGATTAGAAGTATTAGATTTGAATGATATGATAGATCATAAATAAAAAAAGCTTGTTAGTGCAGCTCCTTCGGAGCTGAAATGTGGAACTCACGTATATCCTTCAACCTTGCTATCCTAATACATCATCCGTAAACTGAAAAATTTCTCGTCGGCTGTAGTTGTTTTCACTAATAACCGATGACAAGAACAAGAATTTATTATTTATTTCTACATTTATTTCTAAACTGAAAACAGAAATTTTTTATTTTTTCTACGGGCGCCCTATTTTTTGTTTGCATTGTTGCTATTCGCTCATTATTTTTCATTTTTTTTAATTCATGTTTTTTTTAATTTAATATTCTTATTATTATAATCATTGTATCGGCAAATAAGTCTACTTTACATATCCATGATATCTATGGCAGATTTTACGTACTATTATATATATATTAATCAACTCACAAACAATGATGTTCATTAATCTTCAAAATTATAACTTTACCAATTTATCAAAAAAAAACCTCTAGAAAATCTGACATCTGTTATTCTCCATTGGTAAAGTCGGTAATGGTGGATTGTCTGTAATTGGGAGGTGTCTGTAATGAGAGGGTGTCTGTAATGAGGGGGTGTCTGTAATGAAGGGGTATCTGTAATGGGGGACCTCGTTGCTATGGTCTGTAATGGGGGGGGGGGGGGG